CTCCTATCACTTATTTGCTTCGCATAGGGAGTCAGCATTCTGCGAACAACTTGCGGTACTCCCAATTATGTTGCACCAGAGGTAACTTATAGAGATTTCTTTTGGCACTAATGCTAAGATGACAGGATATCCGTTTAGTTTTACATGGTTTCTAAATTTCAGGTTCTTAGTCATAAAGGCTACAATGGTGCTTTGGCGGATATTTGGTCATGTGGAGTCATCCTTTATGTTCTGATGGCTGGTTATCTGCCTTTTGATGAGATTGATCTGACAACACTATATGGAAGGGTACTCAGGTTTAATCTTTCTATAGATGCTCATACCACCATTATAGGGTTAGTTTTGTTTGGTGGGTGCATAAGAGATTGTATTTCCATGGGAACAAATTGTATCTTGGTTTTGAGATCCCAAAAAGTAACATAAAAGTATGGAGATTCTATTTTAGAATTATTATGCATCTATGCTCTGTACTAAATACTAATTTAACATCTTGTGCAGATTGAGAGTGCAGAATTTTCATGTCCATCCTGGTTTCCAGTTGGAGCGAAATCATTGATCCATAGAATATTAGACCCGAATCCTGTAACAGTTAGTATTTTTTTCTTAGATACAGATAGCAGTGGTTCATTCTATCTGTCATCTTTATGGTTGCATATATGAAATGCTTTATCAATGTTTTTATCATTCACATGCTATGCATGCATTTTATTTTTATTATTGCTTATTGTGATGGTTGGCATCCACAGTGTGTTCAGTAATGAAACTTAGTGACATATTATAAAGCTTCAGTTTGAGTCTCAATAGAAGTTGATGTTTCAGAATGTTAACGTGGGCCACATTGAACAAAAAATGGGTGTTTGAGAGTCATCTGGGATCTGTCATATTTTTTTAAGAAAAAAAAGAAAGAAAACAAGAGAAGTACAATTTAGCTGTTGTAGCTACAATTAAAATGCTTATTCGCTATTGAATGCTCGTGCTGAATATGACAATGTTTATGGTTTTCATCATGAGTTGTTTACTGAACTCCTAGAGATAATTTCGTGCAGCGCATTAGGATTGACGATATCAGAAATGATGAGTGGTTTAGAAAGAATTATAATCCCGTTAGACTTCCTGAAACTGAAGATGTTGATTTGGATGATGTTAATGCAGCTTTTGATGATCCAGAGGTCAGTCAGAATGTAATTCTTTTTCTGGACTTTGGGTTTTATTGAGAAATGCCATAAGAATGTTCTTTCTTCCATTTTTGTTTAAAGGACTACATGCATGACTTGTTTGTGAATATCTTGCTCATCAAAGTCACTAACTTCAAAAGTTCATACTATAATAATTGGCCAAATCTTTTAATGAATCACACTTTTTTTCTTGAGAACTGAATGAACGAGTTTTGCTTTGATGTTGTTCAACTTTGTTTCTCCTTAATTGGGGTTTACACTGTAGTTGTAAAGTTGACTATGCGAACTGTGGCAGTTACTTTCATTATCAACATTAGTTCATTATCGAGATTACTTTTGAAGTACCGGGAAAAATCACCATTTTCAATTACAATTGTTGAAAATCTGGCGAGAATGCTGCAGTGCTAATCACTTTAGGATGTCAATGGGCAGTTATCATTTCTCATCTTCGAGTTCAAGAGTGCGATTGGATTGAGGAAATATCGAAATATTTTTTGCTATAATATGATTTAAATGAATCAGACGGACAATATTAATATTTACATCAAGAAACTTCAACAGATACATGCTGCAGTTGCCTGGGAATGTGATTTCACACTAACACTTGTAAGGGTAGGGTTTTGAGTATTAAAGATGGTCTAACACTATAGCAATAGTTCTAGTAGTTATGTTGCTTACTTTGCATTGATAAACTTGGGTTGTTTAATTCAAGATCTTCTCGGCCAAGGAAACTTTTTCCTAATTGTATCTAATGCTGAGCCGAATGTCATTATGGAAGCTTTACTAGCTTTCAGTCCCCTCCTTTTGCACTGATTTTTCTGTTTTTGACTATTCACAAACCTGTTGAATTGGGTTAAGCTATTAATGGATCATTAGTATATAGTATTCTTATATGGTGCAGTTTTCCCATCAGAAATGGACATTGCTCTTGCTGCCATTCTTGTTCATGGG